GGTGTGTAACATTTATGAAATTTAGTTTGGAGTTTTCATTAAATAGAATAGTTTTTAGCTCTTCTGTTTCTCTTCAAATATTAGAAATATTTTTAATTTTCCAAGTACTGCGTGAATTGCCTTTGAAATACTGCGCACATGCACCCTGAACAGTTACGTTTTTGCTCAGATATTTCTTTTTCAGATCACGTGTACATAATGTATATTCACGAAACATATGTAGTATTTAGGTACATTCCTGTTAGACCTTGCTTCTGTAGAACTTAATCGTGGAAACTAATTTATCAAAGTAGCCCATTCACATTGGCTTCATATTCTTTTTGATTTTCAATTTTATTGGGACCAAGTAATAATTATGAAGGTAGTGATAAATGATTAAACTTTAAATACTTTTTCTAAGCTCTCAGTTTTCTTAATTTTTTTTTCTAGTTTATATCTTAACAGCAAGCTTCTGTAGCAGCAGTAACAATGAAGAGACGCATGATTTTTATTTCATATCATTAGAAGTCAGTGAAATGGGGAATAACTGGAGAATTAGATTATAATACAGTAGTCTCCCTTTATCCACAGGGGATATGTTCCAAGATCAAGAGGCATTATTTTTGTACTTAAACTTTTTTAGCTTGCTAAGAAATAAGATAATTTGAATGGTGACTGAATATGTGATAATTAGACAAGGTAGCCCTTTTTTTACTGTGGATATGTCACCTACCCATGAAAATGGGACAACTTATTCTAGCAATGACAAAATTCTAAAATATGTTGGAATAAATTTAACATTAAAGAATCTATATAAAAATAGAAAATTTCATGTTTATCAAGGTATAAACAAAATATGGGAGCCTAGAAAAGGAAGGTTCCTCTGACTGCAGGAATACAGAAAGCTTCATGTAAGACTTGGCATATTATTTGACTTTGTCAAGTAAGTAGCCATGCTATATGTGGAAAATGCACAGAAAGGAATTTTAGAAAAGAATTTAATTCTCACAATTGTAAAAATGGAGGTGTGCTTGGGAAAAAGCCAGTAATATAGTGGGACTGACATACATGATGTTGTGTGAGAAAGTAATGGGAGATGAGGACATAATGTGAGTTGTAAAAGTTTCTAATTGGTTTAGGACCAGCTCTGGTAAACAGGAAAAAAAAAAGGAAAAGTAGGAAACTGAAATACAACATAGTAAAAGTGAAAATATTATAATTTTTAAACACAGATCTTTCCCCTTGACATGCTAACAGAAACTATTATTCCTACTTCGTTAGACAGGCTTTTAAAAGTATCTTCATTCTGTCAGATACTAAGCCCTTTAGATAAGTAAAACATAATATTCAAGAGAGATTGCTATTATTTCCAGCTGCTAAGCCAGGTGCCCCAAATTGACTTAATGCCATCCATTTTGAGATAAACTTGAAATTCTTCCATGCACGCATTGGCTGTATTCTAGGTACTTGAAAACCACATTAGCACAGAAATAATTTTGGTTTTTAGATTTGATGTGGATAATGATGCTTTTAAAGTAAAGTTTTGTTACTAGATAGTTATGTGAAAATTATAAATACAGAAAAATATTGAGGGACATTTGAAGTGAGGTAAAAATGTCTTGAACTTTTATAAGCTCAGTTAGCAGTTCTTATGTACTTGTCTCCTGTCGGTTTTATCATCAACAATGGTATAATTGTCCAAAGATAACAAACATGTATCTATCTATATACCCATGTATCTACTTACTAGTATATAGTAAAGTGATAGAATTCATTAACATTTAAAAGTACAATGTTTTAGATCCAATAACCTTGAAAATAAAGCTACCATTTCTGAATAATATTGTGAGGAAGATAAACTGAAAAATGCCACCACAAATAACATAAAGAATTTCACGACTTCCTAGTTTAAGATGACACTGTCTTGAGATTGGTTCTTTGGGAAAATCCTTTCTTCACAGTCAAGTATATTCTTTGATGATGGTGATGATCTTAAGTACTTTTAAGGTCAAATTATTTAAATATTAAAACAGCCTCACTTTCCTCATTAGTTTTTCTTAGATTGATGTTAAGAAAAGAGAGGAAGTGATAGCTAAAAATTTAGGTCTTATGAAAACTATTCCGTTGCAGCAAGTAATTACAGACCAGTAAATAATTTGTTTCTGGTTTATAGAAGAGAGAGATTGGAGTATAAAGAGCCTCTGGTGCCTAAGATAAAAGAATAAAAAGGCTTGGCAAAGTTTGAAGGTTTTAGTGGGAAAGTATAGCTGTCTGTCTTTAACAGGTACTTTTGAGAAATGTGAGGAATGATAGTTAGCTGTTCATGGTTACCAGAAGTTGCATCAGGTTTTATGCAAATGTAACAAGGCCTAAAATGTGGCAGTTCTTTATATTGATAGGAAGATAAAGCAAGTGGTCTGTCCAGCTGGATAAAAGAAGGAAGGACAGAAGGAAAGAGCATACCATCCTAATATTATGAAGGGTATACATATGTTATTCAGGAAGAGAAGAGGCTGTGTGCACAACTGGGGTCACACTAATTTCAAAGGGGCAGATAGAGAAGGAAGATCTATTGAAGAAGACCAAAAACAAGTGTTGAGACTGATGTTTCTAAGTTAAGAGGTGTTTCAGAAATGGAAAAACAGTCTGTTGCTACAGAGATATCAAATAAGAGGACTGAGAAAAATTCATTGGCTTTGTCAAGGTATCATTTAAGACCTTTGACAGAGTAATTTTGATAGGCTTTTAGAGGACTTGGTTAGATCAGGTTTTAAGGAGTGGTTGAGTGGGTAAGAAGTGGGAGACTCAGAATTAATGACCAAGTCAACTTTGCTTTAACCCTTTGAAGATGTCGCATATTTCACAAGACAAGCTAGGCCATATGTTGATATATAGGAAAGAAATTGTTTTAAGAAAAAATTTTATTTTATTTGTTAATACTTCTCCATTTCTATCTCTACTTACTGCCTCATTACCAGCCAGAGGCTGACAAATTTTCATTAGAACAATTTCAATGTTTTTAAGGAAATATAAAATACAGGTCTCTGGAATTACACAAAAAGTAACTTGGATGCTAAGGATTTGCTACTGAAATTTACTCTCATGGTTTGAAGGAGTACAAAAATAATATCCTCTGTTTCTCACCCAAGTTTAGAACCACTGGAGATATAAGCAGATGAGTCGTCTGCTACAATTTAAAATATCTGCTTTGAAATTGATAAAGTCTAGAGTTAAGGCCTCTATTTGTAGACTCATAGTGGGATTACTTACAATTTACTGCTGAATTACCAAATTTACTCATTTTGTCACTGGTACACCTGGACAGCCACAGGTTTAGAACAGAAAATTCTTGTTCCTTCTGAAAGAACAGGAATGTAGAAGGGGTTGAGCCATACACATCCAGTAGTCCTTCTCAGCCTTAATCAGATAAATCTTTCCTCTTCTGGAGAATGGAAACTTTCATACTGTTTCAGCTTAGCAGGACAACTAACCTTTAAGAAACTGCCAGGTGTCCAGTTTTAGTATATCAGTGAATATCTGCAGTTATCTGAAAAGGCTGTTAAAAATACTCACCTGTTTTCTGACTACGTACATATTGAGACTAAATTTTCTTCATTTATTCAAACCAAAACAGCACATTAACCAAGATTGAATACAGAAGTAGATACAAGAATCCAGTTATCTTCTGTTAAACCACATTATGGAGATTTCTTTTTTTTTTTTCCTTTTTTTTTTTTTTTTTTAAAGAGATAGGGTCTTGCTCTGCCACCCAGGCTAGAGTCCAGTGGAGCAATCCTAGCTCACTGTAGACTCAAACTCCATAGGTTTAAGTGATCCTCCCACTGCAGCCTCCTGAGTAGCGGGGAATACAGGCACGTGCCACCATATGCAGTTAATTTTTTTTTTTTTTATTTTTCTTAGAGACGAGGACTCACTTTGTTGCCCAGGCTGGTATCAAACTCCTGGCCTCAAATGATCCTTCTACCTTGGCCTCCCAAAGTGATGGGATTACAGGCATGAGCCACCGGGCCTGGATGAAATGTCTAAAAATGTAAAACAATGCCTTATGTAAGTGACAGGTGGGTGGGTGCGGCAAACCACCATGGCACATGTATACCTATGTAACAAAACTGCATGTTCTGCACATGTAAGCCAGAACTTAAAGTATAATAAAAACAAAAACAATGCCATTCTTCTTGCTAAATTTTTTTGTTAGGAAATAATACTTTTTTCATTAAAATGCTAGTTATGTTAATATGCAATAGGTTTATAATTGTTACAGTAAATTACTAAATAAATTGAAAGAAGTTTCAGTTTTGATTTTTTAATATGTTAAATGTCTATAGCAATAATATAAACAAAAGCTCTTTGGGATTCTCAATAACTTTTAATAGTGTAAAGAGGTTTTGAGAATCTGTGATCTAGAGGAATTTACATATAATTTAGGAAAAAAACATAGCTTTATAATCCAAAATATGCATGTTAGGGCTTAAAACAGTACTTTGATGTAAAGTGTTTTTTAAATGACAGTGTAAGTTTTGTAGTTATCACAGTTTGTATTATTTGGAATTTTTCATATTATTCATATTATTTTGAAATTTTTCTAAACTTTTTTTGTGTCTTTAATGTACAACAGAGGAAGTGAACAATGAAATAAAATGTTTGCAAAACTATATAATTTTTTTGTGAACATTTAATTTTTCTAAGCCATAGATGCTTTCCTGAACAAGCTCAGTAAGTTGTAAGAATATGGAAAAAAGATGTTCATTGATAATCTTTGGAATATTCCTGGTATCTTACACCTAACAGAATGAATATTTCATATCTGAGTTAAGTGAACAAAGTGTATTTAAAATTTTTTTTGATAGTACAGTCTAATGCCATTTTGGAATGTATGTGGAGGTTAATTTGCTATTATAGGAAGCTCTCCAGTTTAGTGGTACCTGTTTATCCTTTTATCGTGTGACATATGGTGGTCATAAGGTTGGTGAGTTTCTGATTTTTCTTTTTTTTTTCTTGAAGCAGATAGTCTCAGTGATACCTTGAAGAAGCTGAAGATAACAGCTGTTGACAGGACTGAGGATAGTTTAGAAGGATGTTTGGATTGTCTGCTTCAAGCCCTGGCTCAAAATAGTAAGTTTCATTATGTTTACTCAAATTCCAAAGGGGAAAATCAAATCAGTAGTCATTCAGAAACTGGTATGTAGTTAAGCACATAACTTTGTATTCATATAACTTGAATTCTTTTGAATCATACCCCTGAATACTGAGATTGTTTTACGTGTTCTACCCTCCTACTTACCCTCCACGCCCCCACAAGATCCTCAAAGCCAAGTTGATAGGCAAAGAAAGGAGGAATTGATGGGTAGTGATGACATTAATACCAGTCCCAGAGAGAGGCCATTGTTTCATTTCTAACAGTCAAGCATCATAGTTGTTTTTCTTAACACCTACGTCTGTGCTTTAAAAATAGACTGTCTTATATGTCGGGAGAGTGGGGAGGGATAGAGAGGAGAAACAGAGGGGGAGCTTAAAACACTTAACATTTTTTTGGGATCTTATATTTTAAAATAATTGTACCTTAAAATAATATGTATGCATAGATAAATTTGGAAGGAGCCATTAGTAGTCATCAAAAATCTTTTGAAATTGGGGTAAGATTTCATCTTTGATGTGATAAATAATGCTAGAGATAGAAACTGTACAATTCTTCATTGACTAACACATTATATTGCATTTTATTTATCCTATTTCTATGCACTAATTTCTGTGTTATCACCATTAATAGATCAGTATAGAGTGATTTTCATGTGTTATGTTAATTCTACTTGGTTGTGCTGTGGTTTGTTCTGTACTTGTTTTTAATTATGCTCTTATCCTATCCTGAAACTAATTATGTAGCTGACAAACAATCAAGGGGAAAGTATATATTGTTAAAGTTTTAATTGTAAGGTTTCAACACTTGTTGATGCATGTGTTTTTTATTTTTTAGTAAATCTTGATTAGAAAAATCTAAAATAATTGGAATACTTTTCATCAAAAAAGCACATTTAAGAGCTAGCTTTTAAAATTATTTTTCAGTAATTATTTTGAGGTTGTAACTGTCATGCTGTTTAATCTTAGAGATAACAGGAAGGGATTTGAAACAAGGAGTTCAATAAGAGCATCTGGGTAAGGCTCAAAATGGTAAAGAAAAAGGACAGGAAAGCAGAATGTCTAAGACTGCTATCCATTTTAGTAGACACATGTGGCTATTTAAATTTAATACAAGTAAATAAAATTTAAAAGTAAGTTCCTTAGTCTTACTTCTCAGTTGCTGTATTTGGCAGATAACCACCCTCTTGGGAATCACAGATATAAAATATTCCCATGATCACAGAAAATTCTTATGGATAGCACTGGTCTAAAAACTGGAAAGAACCGCACGATGACCTAATTTTTTTTTCACATGTGCCTGTAATAGGCAGCTTTACACAGTAACGTAATTAGCCTAAGTAAATTGAGTATCTCAGGTATATTTTTTTGAGCAGTTTTTTATTATAACCTTCGTCTGTTTTCAACGACATTTTTTTTCTCTGTTAGACAGTAAACTTTTAAATAGACTGTTTGCTTTAGGTACTGAAGGACATGAAGGGTCATATTCTTGATCATCTTTAGAGGTTGCCCATTTGTCTCCTAGAGAAACTAGAAGACAGGATGAAGTTGAAGGGAAATGAAGAAAAAAGGGAGTAAAAAGTTTATAATTTTAAAAGAACAGATTTAAGAAACACTGAGAAATTCATAATTATTAGATTAAATTAGCTTAGATTAGAATAAGCCCATTGCGGGCTTATTCACTGTACCTTTTGTTGAAAATGGTCTTGAAATTGTGTGTCACAAAATGTTAAGGCCATGTAACCACAAGGGATTAAAACAATAAACTCTCACCAATTTAATGACGTCCCAGAAAGGGAACAAAAGGAATGTCTTGTTAACAATCTGAAACAAAATTTATAAATGTCCTTATGCCGAAGACTACTGACAAAAAAGAATTGGACTTTGGAAGAAGGAGTTCATGCAGATGTTCAGTCTTTGATTTAGGAGTTACACCTGTCATTGGATCACTTACTGTATGTTTAGCACTGGGCTGGGGATTATAGCCACTATCTAATCTTTCCTATAGTCCCATGAGGTAGGTATTATTACCACCATTTAAAGGATGAAGTAACAGATTAATAAGCTTATTTGCCTTGCTCTGGAAGAAGTCGGAGTTTGGATTTGAACTCTTGATTTACAAAATAAAAAATTGTAATCTGAGTAAAGTGAAGCTTTTTGCTGAGTTCATGTAACGTGAAATCGTTCCAAGAAGCTAGGTTTTAACATTGTGTTTTAAATTTTTGTTTTTTCTTTAAAACAGTTCCAAATTTTTATTAAAGCAGATAAGCCTTTTTTCTTGAACTATAAAGTGATCCATGTATTTTATAGGCATTTATTGGCATACTTTATAAAGTTAGCATATAGCTTTTTAACAAGAAAAAGTAAAATATATTAGTGAGATGTTAATTTTCTACAGTTCTTCCTTGAATAAGGTGATTGAGCCATTGCTACTTCTGTCCTCCTAAATGTAAAATTATAAAACATTTAACTTAGAAGAATCTGTACTTGCTTTTTTAAACAACAACAACAACAACAAAAACACAAGAGCTTCTAGTTTCGTATTTCTTCCTTAAAAGTGTCAGGTGTTTTAACTAAAAATAACACTGTTTCCACCACAATTGCACCTGATCAGGAAAGAAAGATTTCTCCATTCTGTACAAATATAAGATGGTAATGTGTGTAATGGAAATATAAACAAAATTTTATTTTATAATCTACTACGCTGTTATTGGAAAGGTTATCTCTGAAAGGAACAAAATAATGCTTTTGAAAGTTTTACACTGTGTGAATTTAGTGTATTTGAATTGCATATTACAAATGACTGTAATCTGAAATTAGAATTTTTACTTTGATGTGTGGCTTTAGAGTGGTTTTCTTTTTTTACCATTGGCAGTATTTCTCTCTGTAACATTTATAGTATATATGTCTATCTTAAGAGACAAAAAGTTTTGAATACTTACTAGATTTTATGAAAACATTTTGTTTAAGCAAGCATTTTGTGTAAATCTCTGATCTAAATTAATATAAAGTCATTCATTCACTCATATAAATACATCAGATCTCAGTTTTAAAATGTTTTGGTAAATGTGTGAAGGCTACCAGCCAATAAATCAGCTTCTGTTTATTTTGGTCTCTTTTGATTCAGATTATAGTTAGAAGATTCTCAGTAAATGCTTATTTGATTGTAGTATGGTTACTCTATTTTATGCTTATTTGGAAATGTAAAAGAATAGACACCTGTTTTCATACCTAAACATTAAGACAGGAATTGTCTTTGGAAAATGTGGCATCTAAATCATCTTGCAAGAGAAACTATTAAATTAAAGTTCCAAAGGCAAGAAAAAATTAACCTATTTGTAATACAAATTCTATTCACTTTATTCCATTTTGTGGATGAGGACCATTTTGTGTTGCCAGGGGGACCATAAAGTGATGCCATACAGCTTTAAATTCTCTTCCTGAAGAAGTAAGCTGTCTTCTCCTGCCTCGTTCTCTTTTTTTTTTTTTTTTTGTCTTTAATGTAGTTTCTTGCTTGATGGCAATTCCCATTTCATATGAGAGTCATGTAATTGTTTATTTTTTATAGAACAACTCTGTGAGATGCTGTGTGTTTACTTGTCTTCAGAGAAGAAAAGCATTTAATGTCTAGTTCCACATCTCTAACCTTCTATCATAATATTCACTCACATGTTGAATTCTTGGTTTATTTGCTAGCCCTAAGGTAATTTGCTAGCCCTTATTCTTTATTTCATTTGTTGTATTGATTTTTGGCTCCCTTCTAGGCTACAATCCTAAGCATACATGATTATAGGCATACTTCATTTTATTGTGCTTTACTTTATTGAGCTTCAGAAATACTGTGTTTTTTACAAATTGAAGGTTTATGGCAACTCTGAGTTGAACAAGTCTTTCGGTGCCATTTTTCCAACAGCATGTGCTTACTTTGTGTCTCTGTGTCACATTATGGTAATTCTTGCAATGTTTCAGACATTATTATTATATCTACTTTGGTAATCTGTGATCAGTGATCTTCGATGTTACTATCATGATTGTTTTGGGGTGCCGTTAACCATGCCCATATATGATGGTAAACTTGATTGATAAATGTTGTGTCTGTCTGACTGCCCCACCAACTAGCTATGCCGTATCCCCTACTCCCCATCTCTATTCCTCTCCTCAGGCCTCCCTATTCCATGAGACACAATGTTTAATTTAGGCCAATTAATAATTCTACAGTGGCCTGTAAGTGTTCCAGTGAAAGAAAGAGTCACATCTCTCTCACTTTATATCACAAGCTAGAAATGATTAAGCTTATTGAGAAAGGCATGTTGAAAACAAAGACAGGCCAAAAGCTAGGCTTCTTGAGCCAGTTAGCCAAGTTGTGAATGCAAAGGAAAAGTTCTTGAAAGAAATTAAAAGTGCTGCTCCACTGAATACATAAATGATAAGAAATCAAAGCAGCCTTATTGCTGATAGGAAGAAAGTTTGAGTGATCTGGTTAGAAGGTCATACTAGCCACAACATTCCCTTAAGCCATGTCCTAATCCAGAGCAGGGCTCTGATTGTCTTCAGTTCTGAGAAGGCTGAGAGGTGAGGAAACTGCATAAGAAAAGTTAGATGCTAGCAGAGGTTGGTTCATGAGGTTTAAGGAAAGAAGTCATCTTCACAACACTAAAAGTGAAAGATGAAGCAGCAGCTGCTGATGGAGAGGCTGAAGCAAGTTACCCACAAGATCTAACTAAGATCATTGATGAAGGAGGCTATGCTAAACAACAGATTTTCGGTATAGATGAAACAGCTTCATATTGGAAGAGATGCCACCTAGGACTTTTATAACTAGGGTGGAGAGGTCAATGCCTGGCTTGAAAGGACAGGCTGACTCTCTTGTTAGGGGCTAATGCAGCTAGTGATTTTAAGTTGAAGCCAGCATTCATTTACCATTCTGAAAATCCTAGGGCCCTTAAGAATGATGTTAAATTTCTCTGCTGTTCTCTGAA